GGTTTTCTTCTTTGTTTGTTTGTTTGTTTTTATTTTTATGTGGAACTACCAGTCAAATATAAAAAAATAGCATTTAATTTTTGGCCCAATTTAGATTAAGTTTTAGAGTGTACCACCAAAGACCTGGATGAAGACGTTCATTTCCAGTATCTCACTGTTACGGTTGGCAGCCCTCGGGCCAGCTTAGAGCTGGTATGGAGTCCTGGCGGCTCCGCCCACACCTGCTGGAACGCACAGGTACTCCACATTCCACTGATGAGGATGCGGTAAAAGAGGGAGCACACAGACTCAGGAAGAGATGGGGAAAAACTAAGACTGACGAGTGAGAGGTGGAGGAACACCGAGCCGTTAAAAGCCCGAGAGAGAATGACGACTGAGCCTGAGAAACTGTTAAAAGTTTGGTTGACCGCTGGAGAGGGATCGGTCAAGGAGCGGGCGGAGAACTAATGGGAATCACTTAAAACTCACGCTGGTCGGATCCAGAGGAGCCCGACTGAGAGCTACGAGCAGCTGAGCCGAGCCGAACTGGGAGGAGACCTGTCCCTGACCTGTAACCAGAACCTGGCGTTGGGGAGTGCGATCCTAAGCCTGTACCTGGATCGTCATGAGTGGATGAGTATAAGCAGGGCCAGATTAACACTTTGTTGTACCCTGGGCAACAATATTCAAGGGCCCCATCATCACGACCCAAGGATCACCATAATATGGTCACATACAGAATATTTTACTGTAATATGCAGTAAATATACTCAATACTTGAATGGCTGACATCACGTAACATGATCAGGGTAACCTTTGACCAACCTCGTGAGGACTGACCAATGAGGAGAGGGTCTTAACTTGAGGCCCTCTCTTCATTGGTCAGTCGGCATGAGACTGACTCTCAACTGATGTTCAGTCATAGGCAGCAAAGCGTCTCTGTGCAGCGCAAAAGCCCGGGTGGACAGTTTGTTTAATAGGGTGACCATATTTCCATTTCCAAAAAGAGGACAGGGGATCTGTGCCTATGACGTCACACTATGGCAATGCCACACAAACCACGTTGGGACCCATTTTTTTGTAAGAACTAAATTAATATCAGATTCTGTCAATAAAAGGGCTCTAAAACAATTCACATGTAAATTTTTAGCATTTTTATTGTGAAATCTCATTTTTCTGCTTTAGTGCTGCAACAAGGTTTTATTAATAATAAATTATTATACATTTTGTTTTACTACAGCATCGGTAAGCTTCCTGTGCACAGATTATTAAGGATGCTTGTTTCAGCTGTGAGATTAGATGGTAGGGTTGTAGAGAACCTGGCTAGGCTCTGTCAATTATGTAGTGTAATGGTTTATGCTCTTTTATGAAAGATGAACCATCCTACATATTAATTTGAGATATTAATTTTTAATAAATTAATAACACATTTTATAGTTTTAAGAAGACTCAAAGGTTGTTTTCATCGATAAACTGTCGATAATATCCGTGGGTCTGTGTTTGAGTTCAATGAAGAGACAAGTTTGAAAATTAAAAGTTTTAATTCTTCAAATTAAACTAATGATTTTGAAATGACAAACATAGGAAATAACAATCAACAATGGCAACTTTGTTGAACAATCTTTAACAGTTGATATTTTAAACTTGCTCAAATAGACCTTGTGTTGAATGTGTGAAAATTGAAAATGAGGTGAGATGAATGCGTGTGTGCTTCTGATTTTGCTTCAGGAAGAAACAGGTGTCTGAGTGAAAAGTGATGGTTTGAATAAATTTAGGTTTCGTTGGAAAAGATGCATCAAACGCTATCTATTGTGTTCTGCCTCACCGTACGAGGACCCTCGTTCAGATCCGGAACGTCCCAGGAGGATGTTTCATCCAGGACACACCTTGGCTGGCAGAGGAGACGAAGGTGTGCGACGATCCGGTCCAGAGATGCCCCCTCGGTACACGTGATGATGAAGCGTTTGCAGATGCGCTTTCTTAAGTTTAATTTACTCAGAAAATCAAAGACTCTGGACGGGTCTGCGTTTGCGGTTGCAATTCAGCTATTCCTGTCTGGCTTGGCAGGCATAGCGTGAGGGGGGGGGGGGGGAAAGAAAGGAGCCGGTGGGCTCCGTTTCCCCGTTAGCGGTTGTTCACACGTCCTCTCTCGTTGACCAACACGAACTGAATCAAGAACTGAAAACTTACCAAAAGCCTTTCTCTTCTCAAAGCAAAACTTGTGCGTCAGAGCAAATGTGTTTGGAGTTTACTGTGAGAGAGTGTGTGTGTGAAGGTCATTATAACATCTTCAAACATTATTTAATTAAGCATTGATTCATTAGTTATTATGATTACCCAAAGCATAATAATCATTCATTTCATTAAAACACATTTATAATGAGCAAAGTGATCAAATGATTATTTAACATTTAAAATAAAGAAAAGGAAGTTTAAGACTTTGTTATGTTATGACTAGCTTCCATGAGAACACATCTTCTGGCACTGCAGGTGGCAGATGTTATGGTTTGCAGCAGACTCTTGCAGACTTCATGTTGGCAAAGGTCTCACTCTGTGGGTGAAAGTTCTCAGCGACCCAGCTCTTGACCCAGCTGGGCAAAGTACAACCTTTGGCACAGAAAACCCATATTTCCTCACGTTACAGGTCAATGAAAAAATAAGTTGTTACACACTCCATGGAAACTTTCAGAGAATCCACAAATAGTGGCTTTCAAACGGTTTTGTTACTTTTTGCAAGTTTAGAAAAGAAGCAGATGAGACAGCGTGTCTGATCATTTAATTTTTCATCTGATAATATTAGAACATGTCAGTGATGTCTGAGGGGCTTTTACAAACACTGTATAACTAACACTACTGGAGAGGGTAGGGATTACACAGAGGCTTCCGGGGAGCCCAGTTATAGGAGTGGGGGGTGTTAGGTTTTGCCTTGGCCCCCAAAATGCCTTGAAACGGCCCTGGGTGTGTGACTGAGTTGTGAAGGTGATCTGAATTGTATCAGATGTATAACTATTACATGTGTGCAACTTATTGCTTTATACAGGTAAAAACGTGTAGTGGAGATAAATCTACCTACATTTTACTTTTCAACACTTTGTTTTGTTTTCTTGTGTTTATTTAACTATTTCCTGTCCTGCCTGTCTCTCATCTTCCTGCATCTCCTCTAAACTCTCCAGAAAAACTGCTGCCTGGATTCTTACTTTTTCACCTCATCAGTTACTTTTGAGCAGATCAAAGGGATCTCCTGACCACAAAGCGGAGAGCGCGTTTCGATGCTGCGTCAGTGAGGTGACATCACCACAGCACAGGTGATGAGCTCCGCAGTAGTAGAGCGCTTCAGGCACAAATAAGACAGAAAGTAGAGAACATTTGTGGACATGAACGATCGTGTGCTAATTATAGTTTTTTGGTTGCGCCACTTTGAGAATTGACGGTGCGCTGAACGCAGCAGCCTGGAGCGCACCAACGAACAGCGCTCTGCCACTCTCTGTGCTCTCTGCTCAAAAGAGTCCATAAATGATGTAATATAGGTAGAAATGTTTTTCTCTCTCCCTGGATGTGTAGGATATCCAGCTCCGCCATAATTCGATCCCTGCTCCTGGATGAAAAACCGGACATTTTCATCAATGCAAGAACCCACCCGGACGCCCCAGACAGAGAGTGAAAATTGGACATGTCCGGGGAAAAGAGGACGTACGGTCACCCTAGAATATTAAGTGGTAGATTACAGATACAGTATTTTGCTCGTGCCCTTGCTGCCCTGGGCCTGGGCCCTTTAAAGTTCGTGGACCCCTGGGCAATTGCCCAGTTGCCCATATGGTTAATCTGGCCTTGAGTATAAGGGTTCCATTTTAAAGCCTCTTCAGTGTTCGCTAAGGTCTTCCTCGGGACTTGTGATTTCGAACAGTTCTGATGAAAGTTTACTATTTGTATCGATGAACTCCCAGCTCTCGGGTGTTTGTGTAAAAAGCCATTGACTCTTGAACAGGAGGAACAGCCTCACCACCAGGAAATAGCCTGGGTTTCAGAGAAAGACTTGCCTCATCAATGTAATTGGTGGTTTTGATGTTTGTGCCTTAACCACACTTTTGGGGGTATCGCTACAGGGCGTTTTCTGCCCTTGGGTCTTGATTATTATTATTATTATTATTATTATAAATATTGTTATTGCTTATTTTTTCCCTTTTCCCTTTTTAGTCCTTTGTTAGTCATTTTAGGTTTTCTGGATTTTGCCCTGAAATAATCCTGAGTTTGTGTTGCCATTTACTGAGTTATTTTATCTAGAGGAATAAAATATCATTGTTATTTTTAACCGCACTGAATCGTCTCCCTTTTGTTGCAAGCCCTCAGACTCTAACAAGCCACACACGGGTTTGTAACACTCACAACAAGAGACAACACTCTTGAGCATTATCTCAGATGAATGCAGCTGAACATGGTCGTACTTCATTTGACCAGAGGAGGGCAGCCATGTTCCTTACAGACTAAGTCCTTTCAACTCACTAGTGTAACAATAACTCACATTTATTTAGCTAGAAGAAAACAAAGTCCAAATCCAAATAAAAAGCATTTGAAGGAGAATGTGATGAGATCCTTTGTATCGTTTATTTTAGGGCTCTGGAAATGGTCCACCGTCCATATCTAATAACTGACCTGTTCTTCCATTGAATCTGCAAAAAAAAAAAAAAACTCTACACTAGCAATTTAAACATATTTACATTTTTCCAGTTTGTCAAATATACATTTTAATTTAGAAGTTGACATAATTATTTCTAATAGAAAAAACTTAAAAAAAAAAGATTTTAAAACAATATCCCAACATAAAGCTGGTTATTTGTACAAAGTTTTGCAGACTCTGACCATTTGCAACTTCATTTGCTGAGACCTAGGAGCCTTGCGGTCCCTTTGTATCTTATTTATTTATCCTTGTGTATTTTTTAGTTGAGAATGCATTTGTGGTAATAGTGACCTTAGTCACCTAAGCTAGAGGGCAATTATCTTTCAGCTGCTACAAGTTATTTAAC